ATGTGACAACAGTTTCAGCTGTGTACACGGTGGGAAACCCTGGTTCTGGAGTAGCGAATCAAAAGTGAATGAGAAGAACTTAAATTAAAAATGTTTATAAGTGAGGTGGCCATTAGTGTCCTTCAGTTATAAGATACATGTAATATCAAGATAGTATTTATGCATGTGTGTGGTAATTCTGGATACAAATATCAGGTGCTTTTTTATAGAAATTCGTAACATCTTTAGAAAGAAATCTGTGGTATTTCAGGGAGATTCGTAAGCATTTGTCAAATGTTTTGGCAATCAAGGAAAAAACATGATCATTATAATTGAATGTGAAATTAAAAAAACTGTCAAATATGTGTTTAGATACAATTACAGTGTATTTCAATGTACATTATACTTAGTGGGGGATTTTTTTCTAGAATTTGTGTACATGCATTGTTATTTAGTATAACCAAGGTTACATGCATTGGTATTTAGTATAATCAACTTAAACTCGGCATCAATATTATCTGCTGAGCAAATCACTTTCGCCTTTAAAAGTACATTGTGTGTATCGATGTGGTTTTGATGCGTGGTTGGAGAGGAGGAGGGGTGGGAGTTTTATGTAGAATATCTAGTTATACCTGATCTAGGATATCGTTACGTGACTCATGTTCACAGCCTTAAGGTAAAATTTGGTATGATATCATCGCCGATATACCGGTATTGTATAGCGCCCATGTATTTGTTATAAAAAATACAACAACAAATGTAGGAGAATCCCTCAAGCTAATCAAATATTGACATTCAATATTAAACTGTTATTGCCGGTATATCAATATCATTATTTATTGCACGTAACATAAGAAAGCAAAAACCTGATTTCAAGTAAAGAAAATAAACATTACAGTAATCTGAGGTCACGATAACAACAAGAAATCGAGCATTTGTTCCAATGTTACTGGCTAGAAGCTTAACGGGTTTATCTTGCTATTTTTCCTAATCGCGTCTTCACAACTCCATGTAGTTAAGCTACAAACACAAGAATCCACGCACAAAGAAAATGGGTATAAAGACACTTAATCATATGCTTATCATGTGTTAACAACAAAAGTTATTGATTTTTTATCCGGTTTTATGCGATTTTCAGTCTTGTTTTAGAAATGGGTATCAGGGTTGCTGAATTGTTTCAGTATTTTGTTAAATGTGCTCCCTTCACCTACCCAAACCCTCAGCTCACATCGCAAAGCCTAATTAGTCTTTTGCGTGGAAATGACAAAATGGAAAAACTACATATATGTAATTGCAGAAAATGTACTCGGAGTCTAAAGGGGCGGGGAACCGACGGNCGGGGTTGAAGAAGTGGGATGGGTGGGGAGTCAGGGAGGGAGGAGGCGCGGGGGACCGACGGGGTTGAAGAGGTGGGATGGGGAGTGAGGGAGGAGGCGCGGGGGGCCGACGGGATTGAAGAGGTGGGATGGGTGGGGAGGGAGGGAGAGGGGAGGCGCGGGGATAAGGTAGCGTTGTTTTTTTACGGTACCGGTCGAATTTCTGTAGAAATAATGATTGATATGATTATGTATATTCACGTGTCCGTGCGTGCGATAGACAGATCTAGAGTGTAATAATTTATTAGATTCTAGAGGTCAATACTTTCTTGGTTCTAAGATTGATAGGGGAGGGGTATCTAGGCATTGTTGTGTGTATCATATTATTGGATAAAGTGGAGGACCGTTAAAGTGTTCCCTGTCTATGTCTACTCTACCCTAACCCTAAGAATGAGTCAAAAAGGGGGGCACTGATTTCGTAAGACAACCTTTGTGCATTAATACATAGACAAAGGTCACTATTGTTATCCCTCCTAGATCATTAACCCACTATAAACGGTCTTTGTGTCGGTAGAATTATAACTGTATATATATATTCAATGTATTACTGAGTCATACGTGTGTATATATACATACATGAACTCAATTATTGAACTTCAATATCATACTCCAAAATATGTCTTATCATGAAAATTATAGATGAAAACAGAAAATAGTGACCTGAAGGTGCGTCCATTCACTTTTCAGTGCAATTAAAACAAGAGGCACAGTTAACTCGCTCGCTACAGTGATTATTGATAATACTCGCACGAGCTAAATACATTTTTAATTATGTTGTTTTTATTTCGTTTTGAATAGAACTTATTATTGGCCGTTTGACACAACAAATCTATTGTGAGCGATTTATCGGAAATTCACACGGTTTTCGACAGGGTGCATTCATGATTCATTCATTATTGCTTAAAACATTAATCTGACACGTCACAAACATTGGGATATCGTGAATTAGCGCTATAGACTTCAGTCAGCCGAAGTGTTGGCAGTCAGCTCGTGTAATCTTTCCAGACATGAGAATATGTAGTTAGTATTTCATACGTTTTTGTGGTTATGCATAACACCCATTGATATTCAAAGCGATACATAATCAGGACGGCTGATCTTATATACTTATAACACCATCGATCTGTGTTGTGTAGCTTGACATCATAAATGTATCTAATATCAAGTTTGAAGATTATAAAACCTCTGTATCATAGCTTTTCACACTTATGTCCGTTTCCAGAACGGCCCAGTTGTAGAACGCATCGCTAGCTTTTCGGGACAAGTTTTACTCAAACCGGGAACCTGATATTTCAATAATTTACAAAATTGATCGAGTATTTCAAAGACTCTTGAGGAAAAACAAGTTTCAAAAAGAATTCTGTTCTATTTTCTATATTTGATACTTTTAATCTTTTTATTTGATATTTTTCTGTAAAGCTAACCATACTTAAAATATGTACGTCTACTATTTTAATATACATTGTACTTTTTTCTGTAAAGCTAACCATACTTAAAATATGTACGTCTACTGTTTTAATATACTTTGTGCTGATGTCAAGATATAAAGCATGCGCGTCTATAATTAGACTATATCAACTTTTTTTCTCCTCGTTAGTCATACAGTCTATATCTTTAAATACTTTCCAATTGATTATTAGGAACAAAGCATGAATGATTAATCCAAAATTATCTATTCTTTTTATATATTGACGTTTAGGCAAATCTCTCCGGGCTCATTTACTTTTTAATATTTATATAAAAAAATCAGAAAATGGTCGAACTTATTATTCGCCAATATCTTTCAAAGGAAAAGGAATGTAAGAAGATTGAAATGACAGCGTTAGAGTAAACGAAAAATAACGAATAAAAATTATTGAACAAAATTACTATTAGTAAATATAACATTTAATAAAATGTTTTTTTCGCGATATCGGCCTTTTCGATAAAAAAGTATTTTACACTGATGAGACTGCACATGTTGTTAATACGGATTGCATTTCGCTAAACCGGAGATATTGTACCGGTTGTAATGACGAAGCATCTCTATATAACGACATAGTCTTTCAATATAACGACAATTTTTCGTTTGAATTTATCTTGTTATAACGACTAATTATATCGTTTTTTGCTTCATAGCTTTGTGCTAAACTTTTTGTTATAGATACAATGTATATCAAATAGAGTGTTACTGAAACATGCTTCCATTTTTAACATAACTTCATTGCAATATGCATTGTTTGATTTTTGCCATCAGAAAATGTGATATTTTTTGTCGAATGGAACCTGATAGACTTGGCATGTAGATTTGAATGCCTAATGTTTCAGGAAGCTATGAAAAAACCCGATTGTAATACTTGTACGTGTACCGCTCAAATTGTGAATTGCAAGAAATAAACGTCAATCACTCCGCTGCCTGTCATGAAATATTCAAATGTCCAATACATTTTAAAATTGCATGCTGACTTCACAACGTCGTTTGTCATGCACGGTAACACATCGACATATAATGCAGTGCACATCAGTACCGTTCTAAAAAGACGCTATAAATCAAACAGCAGCTCGTTACAGGAAATGGTAGTAATAAACTTTAAATATATAAAGATTTTTATATCTAGCGTATGGCGTATCTCTGACTGTATCGGTGTGAAAGCTAAGTGGGGGAAATTTCACCTTGTAAGATAAGATACGAAGATGCACCTTTGAATGTTGTCGATTGTCCGACACTACTCGACGTTGTCGTTGTAACCAGCAGCTTACACTAGCCGTCTGTTAACTCTGCCCATCTCGATAACAAATTTGAAATACTGCATTAAGATTTGAGATACATGATATCTAGTATAATCATTTAAGATCTTCATTTTTACTTCTGTTAAAAATTAACATAAAAAATACAAGAATTTTATTTTTATTTTGAAAAATGACAAACATGTATTTGATTCTGAGAACACGATCTGAATAAAATTGTAACTAACGGATTCCTTTTTGATTTTATTTTGTATTTCAAAAAGACCACTAGTATATTACAAAGAAAGAATGAATAGCAGTAATCTATAGTGGATAACAGTTACACTGCATATTTTCATAATTTCTTTTAACTTTACAGAAAATCAAGGCGAGGCAAATATCATATAACTTTTCTACGTGAATTCAAGCTCTTTGTTATCTTATTTCAAATATTCTAAAACAGATTTGGTCAAAAGCTTCGAAATTGTTCGATAAAAAACGTTTGATTTTTTTTTCTTTTAAAGGATTTAGGTCAATTTTTTTACTGAGAATATAATAAATTTAAGTTTTCTCGACGCTAAAATTACGCGTTTGTTCGCAGAAACTTCAAAAGCTTTGACACCCATCTGACATACATTTAAAGTTGAGTGCCTTTTTTTAGCTAATGTCTCTCTGACACACCTGTATTGTACCTGTTAATTAAAGATGTTTTATGTTACAAAGGCAAATTTTTAAGTATGCAAAACTGGCTAAGGGCATTTTTTACCCATACACGTGCTAAATACTTCGCACAGGTTGACACCTAACAGGTATTTAACGCAACGTTAGAGTAAAACTCGTTCAACCAATCAGCGACCGTCATTTTGTCACGGGGTCTTTTTTCAGAATAATTCTTCCTTAAAGGTATATATATAGAATGTGAGACATTCTCTGTATATATTATACACACATGCGTAAGTGTTACCGTATATACACTGTATATAGGTACGACGGCGTACAGAAACCTCAGATACACACTAGCTATCGAACGGAGTGTTACGTCTACTTTTAAGAGAAGAGTTGCTCAACCGAAAACATTTTCCTATTAACTGACGGTGAAGGACAATCTCGCTAAGGGATCTCATACACTCGGTAGCCTTCGGATATAAGTTGTTGATACGCTACAGATATATATCTGTGTGACTCATCAATTTCAATTGTTGGGACTTAAAACGTAGTGACAGTGCTTTTTCTGGACATTGTGAGTTAAACCTTGGACATAGCAGTCATGGAAGGTTCCGTGGACATGTCGGGCTCGGACAAATATACAGCCTCCATCGAATTCTCAAACGCATGCAGGGAGTTTTACATTAAGCGAGTGAAAGCCACGGAAAATCTCAAAGACCAGATCAGAATTAAATCGGACATTGAAACGAAACAACGAATGCCAAAGTCGCAGCAACCAGCGTCGTCCATAGAGTCCGCAATGGACAAACTCCGGCGAGAAATGGTGAGAACTTCATACACTTGACTTTCGTGAGAGTATACATTCTCATTCTCATAATCATTCAGAGGTTCTCATGCAGTGACAGAGCGTATGACTTGTATGTGTGGTAAAGTCATTGTTTAATTTGAAATATGGTCACGCATACAATGTGATTAGGTTATTTCATGGTACGATATATTTAGGAGAAGATATTTACTTGTATATATTTGATTTTGAAATGTAGACCAAATTTAGTCCATATGTTATTTTGAATACAGATGGCACAAGATAATCAATCTTTTTTAATCGTGTATAAATATCGTCATTTTTAGATCCATTTAGATATATAATCTTACTGAAGTGTGCTAGCATCTATCAGATCTTAAGTACGACGTTTTATGGTAAGCACTCAAAGACGGAAATACCTGGATTTTTAATGATAAATATCTATTTAAGACGGCATGACTAGCAATCGTTTGATTTAAATTTAGATATTATGTTACCCGATATGTTTTCAAAAATAACAACCTTGATATGCTTTATTTAATCTTGTTCACATTACGTTAAACATCTGTCGCAGACGACGCTACTAAAATCACTACGTACCTCTAGTACGTGACCTGAATTGATAACGACGGGGAATAAAATAAATCATACCAAACCTTTCGTAACATTGACGTATATTGTCATATCATATTTGTTACAATTTAATGATAATGTAATGATAGAAAATCAGACTGTATCAAGACTAAAGGTTAATACGTTAACGTATTGTAAACAACATCTGTCGAGTTCATCTAAGTAATATAACGTTTTAAATTTAACGAATCGATTCCTTATCAAGTCTATCTATTTTGTTTTGTCACGGCCTTTTGTTCGAAACTCTATTTTGACCAATAAACATGACCAAATCATAGTAATAGGTGCTTACATATGATATAAAAAATCAAGCTCACATTTTTTTGGTAAAATATCAGCAGGTGCATTGGAATGGTGGTCCGTTCAGTTTGTTGTTCTCAGACCTTTGAATTCTGGCCTTGTTTGTGAAATATAAGTTTTAATTTAATGTATTAACACAAAAACAAACAACCGCTTATACTGGCGAGTCGAGCCTAAATGCCAGTCGAGACGGTGTTTGTATGGTATTTTATTTTCCAGTACACAAGTACATTAAAAGCCAGACTTATTATTAGTAAACATGGAACTATAATCATAAACAAGTGTGGTATAATGGGCTCCACACTAACGCTGGGTTAAGTCCACATTTCTCTGACACCCGTAAAGTTTACGACATTGGCCGGAAGTACAATACGACACCTATATTCCCGCGGCTACCATTACTAGGTCCACGGGCACTGACCGATAATTAATCAAAAATTCTACCTAAGGTATTATATAATTATGTAGGCGAACACCGCTACAGGTGATATACCGAGCGCGACAACTTGACGATGTTACGGAGATGAGACAATCAGATAGTGCCTGGTTTGTCTTGTTACCTGTCTGTACTCTGATTGCAATTTCATGCAAAGGCCCAGGTGTGCAACGCGTGTCCGACTGGTCAGGCAGGTGTTCAGATCGTTGCATGCTTCTTGGTCAATTTTTGCGATTACTTTGTAATTAGTTTTTTTTCCCGCGGGAAACAGACATTCTAATCTTGTCTGCTTGAAAAAATTTTGGGGGGAAATTCTAGAAACATTGTATCTCTTGATTTGTCTTTTTCTAACTAGCAGATGTTCCCAATTTCGTTTGCTCGATCAAATTTAGGATAGGATAGAAACATCGGATACCGTCTACTTCCTTTCGGTCGGCAGGTGGCCTTGTTCGAAAGTCACGCTATTTGCATTTAGATTCACCTGTAAATAAATTGAGAAATACTTTACACCGCATGGAAGCTTGGGCAATACAGGTGTGAAAACAACCATCCCGTCACGTCAGATTATAGTTTAGGTGAAAGATTCAATTTTATGCCATGTTGCATTTTGTGACATTCGAGAAGATGAGTATTTGGCCTGTGAGTGTGACGTGCTAGTGTATACTGTATATCTACATCACGCGAGACACAGCTGGGTACAATAAAACCACCCCACGGGCATTTAGATTTTTAGGGTTTTATCACTTTCCAGACCAATTTAAATCTTGGATTCCATTATCTAAATTTTTGCCCAGTGCAAGATCGTGAAGCTAATACATCACATAGCTATCAAGTCACGTACACGACTTTAAAAATAAAAATCTAGAATATTGGTAACGATATAAATTTCCCCAAAAATAAATTTTCAAAAAATTCCGTTTTCCATATTTCAGAAAAAGTATTTATGATCCCCTTAAAGGGTCGAGATTTATACTGAATAGTTGTATTGTTTTGTAGTTGCCTTATTGCGGTAGCTATCGTGTGAAATAAAACCACTTCCGAGATTGGGCTCGAGTACTTGGGATTCCGTCCCTTGATAACGCCTCCTTTGTACACAATTAAGTATTTGTTGTATCTCAGCAGGGGGCCCTCGAACCACAGGTTATGTTAGCGCGATTGAAATATTATGTAGATTACGCCAATAAATCGCTTACAAATGCAGGTTTTTAAACCATCAACGCTTGGCCTGAGCAATGGAATGCGTTCAGATTGTCCATGTCAACACTAAACATACGTTATCTGAATCTTCAGACTCGAGTGAACGAGGATAATGGGATTAAAACCACATATACGGGAGACATGGACGTACGAGTTGTTGTTTATTTTACTCGAATCATTACAGATTCCGAGTTTAAACACCACACAGATTGGTTTAGCTCCCACACTTATGGCCGTGATAATGCGTTTATAAGACTCCGTGTAGGAGGTTAAAGCCATCAAATTCTTGTTTAGTTTTGCCGAATCATCCTTGATTCATCTTCTATCATTAAGGCATCAGCCTTTTCACTAGCTCTGTCATCCTGTGTCATTAAGGGTATACCCGGTACTAAAAGCTAGGCAGGGGGTGACCATCATCTGATAACGAATCCTCGTTCCCACACGACTTACTTAGAAATGGTGCTCGTATGGGAACGATGATGATCTTTGATAATAAACATTATGTTAAATACAAAGTTGAAATGGTGTTCATTTATTTAGATGTTTTTAGATACTATCTTTGCAAAGATATAAGACGTTTTAATACTGCTCGAACATGGCTCGATGCGCTTGTAATTAACTATAAAATAATAAAATGTCTTATTTATTTCCAGGCTTCCCTGATGGACCAGGATTTGTCCTTGATGAAGCAACTGTTGACCTTAAACGAAACGATAGAAGATATCAAGTCAAGACGACTGTATGGTGTAAGCAAGGAATCTCTTTGTCAAAGCAACGGGGATTTGGGCGGGAGTCGAGATTCATTCTCCGATATGGACTTGTATGATTCAGACGAGGAACTTCACAAACAGTCGAACATGAAATACACATGTCTGAATGTCAAGGACAATTTCAGCCGTCAGACAAACCTTAGTAGCAAAGCACACAGAACGGAAAGTCTACGAAAAAACGACAGTTCTTCAAGTGATACTCAAAACAGTCTTCCGGATATGAAAAAGCCTCAGATTATTCACGGCGCACAACGGTCTATAGACTCCGGCTATGACGAGTCAGACTGTTACCAGACGGATATAGAGGTCACGATATAAGTCACGTGGTCATCGAGCAAGGCAAATCCCGGGTACTTCCGTATCTTCTGATGTCCACCGACAATCACGATCATCCTGGATATGACGTAATATTGTGACAGACAACTCTATTGAGTTGCATTGCGCAATAACGAAAGTGCTCATGATTTAGACACAAATTATGATTTATATGATATCGTTGAAATCCCCCAAACACTAGAGAACGTACGAAGACGAAGAACTTGACGCTGTTTAATCGATTGAAAGACTATACATCTTAAAAAGTTTGCTGAACTTCTGGACATTGACCAATTCGTCACATTGCATCTGACCGGAAGTGCGTCACAAAGACGACTGGGCTTTACTTGCAGAATCATAAGGTAGCTATTATTTTCATCAAACTCGTTTGCATGAATTATCAAATAAGAAAAAAACATTTTAGCGTGTATGATTATAGAAATAATTTATGTAAAATTTGAATCAAAACAGCAACGCATTAAAAAAAACACCAGTCGATGTGGTTAAAAGTGTGACATCACTGACTTTGATTGTTTTGATGATGTCCTCTGATGACTAATGAAACTTTTATTTTTTATACTTTCAGTTATGGAAAGAACAACGCAATGATTGGTCATCTACCTGTAACAATTGTCTAATGAAAACGAAGCTTCCTCAAGGAAATCCAAGCCACCAATAAAACGGACACTTTTATATTTTTATGGAAAAAGATGTGTTTAACGGTTTCTGTGAGCCAAATACAGAGACAATGGTTCTTTCTTAGGACATTGAGAACATCAAGTGGGAAAATATCGCGGAAAGTCATAGTGATGTTCTAACCTACAAATAAATATGGTGCTGTATTTCACGTCTGATCGAGGATAACAACCCTCAAATAACCTTTATCAGCGGAAGACTGTTTTAGATGCGGATGTGTAACTTATTATGTGTTCATGTTAAATTATGATATCTTTATCTAGTCGTTTTATGTTAAAGTTGATTAATTTATTGCAATAAACTACAAATACCTTCACATTGTCTTCGATATCTTCACTTCTGGTAATATATGCAAATTTAAGCATTTTTCTGTTAAAATATTCATCATTTGTCATTATTGCTCATAGAAGTATTTGACAAGCGTTAAGTACAGGTATCACTAGTAGCACAATACGTAAATCATTTCACTAAAATTTGCGTCCGAAAATCCTAATCATACACCAGGGACGTATGAAACTATCTGATTGACCTTTGCATACACATTAGGGTTTTGCAGGTTTAGGTTCCTTTTCACTTTTTTATATATACGTTAAATGGGGCCAATTACAAACATAAATTCGGACTTGGGTAATGTGAGTTATTTGGACTGATTCACAAACATGAGAAATCTTGAATTAAGACGTTGACTGAAAAACTAAAACAATCTAGTTGGACATCACAAATGTAGTTGACCTTTGCATTTTGAACTCCGTGACATTCCAGCTGCTCTGGACTAGGGTGTAGACATAATACATGTAATTAATGGTTCTGTCGTACTGTGAGGATAGCTCTAGGCCGACAACCCCAACTATAACGAACATACACGGTTGTATCGCAAAAGATAAACGAAATGTTTACCTACAAAATAGTAGTAATATACTCAAGAAATAATACGAAAAGTTGCGTGTATTGAGAAATATATAACGAAGGTGAGAAAACTAAGTTTTGTAAAAATAATCAACGAAAGCCTCTTCTGTCTTGGTTAGTTTATATCCTTTGATTTTTGAATCCAGAGTTGTCTATTCAACTATAACATGCAAACATATGTTAATTATATTTATTCTACCACGTGGAAATGTAATTAACTGTGTTTTCGTGTTTACTTCAGAGTATATAAGACAACGTGACCTAGAAAATCTAACTGTTGGAATTGGACGGTTCTTTTGCGCATGCAAACACTGGCCAAGTGACGCGTCATTGTTATTCCACTAACAACACGTCACAGCTGATGTCATAATGTTTGGACGCTAAAGGCAGTCGTCATGTTGTGCCAGTTGAAAATAGATGTATGTGGAATAATTTTGAATAAGTAAATACAACCAAGCACCCTCACTCGACATACTTTTTGATAGATTTAGTAGACCAGTCACACACAACTAACTCGTTTACGCTTGCAGCACGGGGGAGGCGTTTAAAAGAGCGTTGCTCGTTCATGTGTTTTTAATTAACAGACTAAAAGAAAACGAACGTGCATGAATTATTGTCCAAAATGGTTACTGACTGATGAAAAGCGTCGTTAAACCGCTGACATGGAAGACTAGTATATCTGCCGGTCTTCATAAATTATCCCACAAATTAGAGGCGCCAAGAAAAAAGTTTGACAGAAAGAATTGTTCTCAAAGAGATTTTATACATAGAACAGTAGGTAGTCTGTTTTCCTTCGTCACTGAGGACCATTTTCTTGTAGTTATGTGTGATGTAAAGATGAATCAGAATCACAAGACGCCGTTAGAAAGTAATGAATAGTTTATGATTTAATATATTTTGTAACGAGTCTTTGACAATTCATGCAATATGCAATTTGGCAACATTTAAACGCAGGTGCACACAGTTTTTGTAGATAAATTTCAGTTTTGATGATTCATCCTTGATAGTGATAATATATATCTTTCCATTTGTATAAGAAATACGATCTTATCAAATATTATATAAGACCAGCGTTGACGAGCACACGGATATGCAGTGATAATGTTTTGTTACTTTTTAAATTCAAACACACGCCTTTGCTCGTGTTGTAGTTTTAATGAGTTTTAAAAGTGGATGATTCGTCAACCTTCATAACACTATAACTGAACTACACCAGCTAATTAAGATTTCAAACGTAATAAGCATTGGTACTTCCGTTTATCTTAAAAACGAGTAATATAAACTAAATGAAATTAAACAGTGCGCATATATCTTAATCTAAATGGCAAACATTTTTACATAAACTATTTTATGGCATTTTTTATCACTTTAGAAAGATTCCGTGAACTTCTAGTTTGACAGTTACAGTATGATGCGACTGACAAAACGGAAACACTTAAGTTAATTGTCAACACGAGAGAACAACAGGCAATATTTACATATTTACTGACCAATCAAACACTTCCTCGGATTTCCATAACTAAATTCCGACACAGCAACATTCATGTAAGACAAAAAGCACTGCTAAGTTAAAGTATGCAGAGCGATTGTGTGACGACGCAGAGTAAAGCAATATCTATGTTTAATCTACAACCGATATACAAAACGGCTATTAAAATGAACGTCGGTGTGTACTGTTGATAACAAACTGAAGATATTACAATGTAACTTAAAGAAAACCACTTACGCTAGGCCGTTTATAGGTATCAAAACCAACGGACAAAGTCATGCTTTGAATATGCAATATATAATTATCTCTTCTTAAGATCTACTCCGGAATTTTTTTATTTTTTTTTTGTTTTTTCTTTAATTTAAAGTTTGTGTGTGCTTTTGATGACAGACTACATTCGTCCTTTTAAAATACATTCAGTTATTTGCTTGCCTGGAAGGCGAATTCCGTTGTTATCTTGACAAAAAATGGGGTTCGCCGTGACTTCAATGAGAACTATCTAAAATTGCAAATACTTGTCGGTTTTGAGTTTCCTGTTTTGTGGGTGAAGTCTGTGCCTTAATTTGCACTAGTTTGTTCTGAGTTATATACAATTACCCACAATGATATCATCCGTGTAATGTGAGGTTGCGCTAGACTTGCCCTCGACAATCCCTTTCCCGCGGAATGTGTCGTCTGCCGGCGAGCAAATGTTTAATATAGTAAGTAGTGATAGGGATGGTACCACATGTCCTATTGTTCAATTCTCAAAAAAATTACATTTTCACCTAAATGATAGTAACAGTTGCGTTTCCTGTTCAGCCTTGTACATGTATTGAAAGACATGTTTACATAATGAGAGATAGCACATTGTTTTCGCTTACAAAAAAATAAATATTTACGATCAAACTCTATTACTACATCAAATGAATTCACCTAATACCTTGTAGATGAAGTTAGTATTTCGTCAACATAGCTTACCTGTATTTTGTATAGGTTCACAGCTTCATACAATGTACCTACCTTAATTACATTTCAGGTAAACGGTCGCACCTTTTGAAACAGACATAACAAACATTTATTCTACTCACAATATAGGTTGTTTAATAGATAAAGCAATTTTACTGGAATGTTTCAAGTGTTTACCTGCAGGTTTTTGAAAAGGTATGTAAATACAAAGGAAAGTAAATATACTGAAGACAGCGCAAGTTGTCTCTTATCATTACCTCCGTGGAACAATGGTACTACTGTGTGACTGTCTGTCTGACTGTGTCTTTGTTATACATTATTGTACATTGGCGATAGTCCTCACACTGTACCTGTTGAACGACATGTCAATATTTTCATGACCCGACGATGATGGAGTTATACATGTAGCTAGCTCGGTCAAAGCGACAGTCTCTCTAAATATATCTCCAAAGTCCGCATAGGCAGAACGCAAAAACGATCTTAATACACAAAAGACAGGTACATTAAATAACGTGAAAGAAATAAGGTATTCGGGGAATTTATATTAAGAAAATTGTTTGGTGTAGAAGGTGGTTTTTAAGGCTGGTAAGGATATACGACCTTGCACACTCATAACTTACAAGCCAAAACATGAAACCTTGTGTTGCACACCTTCAAATCGATATGAGTCATTAACATTTCTTATGATGACATAATGATATAAGTAATTAACAACGAAGTATCATATTATGTCATGGAAGATGAATGTATACGATAAACCATTGTCACTTTGTATCACTGTTAAAAGTAAGGTCCGGCTCCCCCTTTAATTGTCCAGATCATCACACACAACACATGCCACCAGTATGTTTTGCTAGATTATAGGGTTTCACTGTTATATAGAAAATATTGAGAAGATGTAACTGTTCTCGCGATTAATGTTTTAGTCAACAGCGTTCTTGCTGAATTTGGTTGAAGAACATTTAGCCAATCATTCCTACCCTACTTCTAGCTGATCTTTTTTTTGTATGCAAATAAAGATGAATGCCAAATATAAAAAAAAAGGGAAACGTTTTTCCTGTCTGATTTTTTAATTTCACATTAGGATATATTGATGATGCTTCGTCTTTAAATAACAGGGAGATCATAACATTTTGTTCTTCAATTATCTTACACATTCCCTCAGTGGTTACACTCCAGATGTTTTAGGTTTACCTGTCCCAGTGAGTTCGCTTCTTCATAGATGCACCCTTTATACTAAACATACATAGCTAGGGTTTTCTACAAGGTAAACGTCAATCTATAAACTACGTCGTCACAATAACCTCACGTCGGGTGGCGCAGTGGATAGGCACTTGCCTTTCACCAAGGCGACCGGGGTTCGATTCCCCGATCGGACGTGAAAAGGTATGGGGTCACCTGACCGACCGCGTGGGTTTTCACCGGGTACTCCGGTTTCCTCCCACATTAAGAACCCCTGCACGCTAAAATCCGGGCCAACAAGAGTGATTAATATAAGTTGAAATAACTTGCTTCATCATTGTTGTAAAATAAATAAAGTTTATATATATATATATAAAAAATACCACCTCACGTGCAACTCCGTTGTATGTAGCACGAAACGCTAAGCTCTCCGGTGCATCTGATTTTGTTTAAAGATTTGTGTGTTTTCTTTTGTTCTGATGTCACTTCAATTCATGTTTTTGTCTTTTGTCAAAGATGTTAAATCAGGGTTTTCTATTGACGTTCTGGGTAGGTTTCTATTTATTTTGTCTTTGTGACTCCATTTTAGAGGTATAACATGATTTTTGGAAACTAGGTGATTAGGACAATCTAATGTTAAGATATTTGATTTAATATTTCACATATTAATCAGTATATACTGTTCTTAATATTACATAAGACTAGACGAAAAGTCTCGATTAGAAATGAAAATAAGAAGTATTGGTATTTATGATTAACAATACGTCTCTGATGTTCAGCATAAGACAGGG